TTCAAGTCCTGTGCAAAAACGCATGATCGCACGGGCCCGTCCGGTGCGTTCCAGCCTGGGTTAACTTTTCGTGGGATTTCTGTGAAACTCCAGTGATTGCCAATTTTGCAAGAACTTAACCTAACAATATGTTCCCATTTACAGCTATGGTTTTCGAAATACTCGTTATCAGCGAAAGCAAAATTTGGACGAAATCTTGTTGAATTGCAGGCAACCAAACGAGCCGCGTGCACGCGAATCCACAAGCGATTGTGCGGCATTTAACTATGTTTATTACAATACTGCTTCTGCGGTGCCCGTTATGTCGATGTTAGAACCTGGAAGGTACTTCATTCCTTTTGAATAAATCGAATGAATATCTGATTTACTGGGGAGATAATATCTAAAAACTCCTAATCTCCTAGGCAAATAGGGTTTTGACTACTTTGTCACCTCGAGTAATATCATAATAGTTGTTGCTTTATTTTTACCACTTTCCATTTGCTTAGTAGCAATTTTTTATTAGCTATATGTTTACTGATTTAACAGCCATGTACTTATTGACAATCATAATAATCGTAATGATTTTCTAACTGCAATAATCGTGATAATATCAGGAACATCAAAACTTCCCAGGTTGTCGACGTAGCGTATCAGTTGTGTTGCTGGGATGCTAACACACGCTGAATGCTCTCGTGTTAATAATATTTTTAATTTCTGGCAGTGTTGTTTTGGGATAACAATGCCGTCATGTTCACTTTCATTTCAGCAATACATATGTATGTCAGAAAGTGCCCAGTATCTATCTCGGAAAAGAAGGTGGCAAGATATCATTTTTGGTTGACACAAGAGCAGTTCCACTGAAAGATCTCACGGCCGATAATCTAGGTCGGTATTTTCTTCGATAGATGATGAGTGCTTATTTTCACGGAAGTTTTTTGAAATTATCAGTGAGCGAGTAAGGGATAAAAATAATTATGCCGGTATCTGACTTCTCCTCTCGAACTCCATCAACAATCCACGCACGCTGACAGACTGGAAAGTAGCTCGAATGATGCCAGTAGCAGCCACGCCCGGCGAAAGCTGTGGGTAGTACTTTCTTTTGGGAACTGAGATCTCGCGGCTATTTTTTGGTCTGACAGTAACAACTTACCATCGGAGCTAATTGCGATCGCAGAGAGAGTGATTATTCCTGTGATAGACCTAAACTCTCTTTCTTTAACGGGAGATTTATTGCTAATTCATACTCATCAACATAAGGCTATTACAATGGCAGTAATGATAGATGGTAACGATAATGATAGATAGCTTCGACTGAGAAGGATATCGAAAGCGTGATGATGCCTTCTTTTCGGGAGCTGCCTGAAAGACAGACTTAAGATGAGTGGGACTTCCGAACGTATGTATGCCTTTAGAATTTCACTTTCAAAACAACGTCAATATCATTAGTATTGTCCCCGAGAAAGGTTAGTTGTTTTTTATGAGGAAAATTGATTTATTTGTTATTCAGGTAGTTGGACGTGTCGTTTCACGGCACACATGAAATCGCGCAAATATTTGGTGAAAAAGGGCAAAGTAATGGGTCACGCAAGGCACTACGGGCAAGTCTATCCTGCACTCCAGGACTACGACTACATTCTGCATCGTCAGTACTATTGCCACGGTAACACGATTGGGCCAGCTACAATTCGTAAAAACATTTGGTACTTGTCGGATAAGTTGTGCGGTGGTGAAGTGATTGGGTGCGCTATTATATCGTACGAAATTGGTGACAATGTAACGGTGAAAATTTCAAAATTGCGACAACAACGCGCTTCGCAACTGGGCAACAGTCCAAATTTGGTGACGCCGACCACCGAAGCCATGCATCTGCTGAAAGGTGAAATGACGGCAAGCGGTAGCTCGGAAGACATGGATGTGAGCAGTGTGATATCAATGAATCCGAACGCTGAACTGCAGCGGTTTGTGAATAACATGCAAGTGCCACAATAATTCACCCCCTCTATTAGATGTTTTTTGGAAGGCAGAAGAGAGGAAGGATCGATAACGTAAAGTGTGCATTCAAGAAATTGACAGAAGAATTCGAGTGCACGCATGCAAGAAGCTGTTTTTCTTTCGCAAAAATGAGATTTGATAACTGGAGCTCATCAATTCTCAGGAAGTCCCTTCAATTTGCGGCGTTTTGCGTGAAATAGTGGAAGAAAAACCTAGTCTCACACTGATGTTGGTAAGCAATGTTCGAAAGAGAAGGCGATCGGCAGTTTTGCCAGCGGGTGGTTGCCATTAGCAAACTACAATCCGTCGAAGCATTCCCCTTCAATTTGAAGCTTTCATGGATAGTTCTATAAAAATATGGATGAGCGACTGTTTGTGTTTGAATTAAAGTAACATTTTTTCATTTTGCTCAAACTTGGCAGTTGATTCGGTAGTACGGTTGTTCATATATGACTCTTAAATAACAAAAAATGATAAAAAGAGGAAACCTAGGGCTGATTTTTCACCTCTTTCCACCCAGTGATTTACAATCCCTATGAATTCCAACAACAGATTTTGAGCCAATTTTTAATAACAAAGTTATATTTATGATTCTCACTTTCAGAGCTCAGGGAGTGTTCTGTATTTATTTATTTTTATGCGTTTTTTGCAGCAATGCAATGCGAAAAATGCATATTGACGAGAGGTTGTCTG